TCAGGCAGAGCTCAACAAGGAAGGAGCAGAGACCCCCTCCTTCCTCTTCACTTCTCAGGACACCTGTTATGACCTGTAAAGGGTAAGTCCTGAGATTCTGTGTTTCTACAGCACAGGCAAAACTAGAGTGGTGAACAAAGTGAGACAGGGCTAAATCATTTCCAAGAGACACTGCTGAAACAAGGGTCTACAAAGTGTTTATAAAAGTCATCCTAGTTTCATAAGAAAGATGCATCTTAATACATTATGTAAACGCATAGAAAAATAATACGAATACTGGGAAAGGGAAACCACAAAAAGAGGTAGGAAAGAAAAGTTCAGAGCATAATAAAAACAACCCAAAACTTTAATTACACGTCTCAGTTCAGGTATAAAACACAGGTAGCAGAAGACAAGCTCATACAATACTTCAGCAAGCCAGTGCGGGGATGCTTGGTGCATCGGGCTTCCACAGCTGACTGCAATGTTACTAAGAAATCATGCACATAAGTGGTTCTCAAGTGTGCTCTTGCCTGTAATCTGTTAGGTCTGTAAATTTGTAGACTGCACTGCACACCTGAGTCAGTAACCAGGGACCAGACTTGGCAACTTATTTTTTTGTTTTGCATTGAGACAAAGTCAAGTTTATTTGATAGGAAAGTCTTATTTCAGGGGTTAAAATAAGAAAGTCCTTAGAAATGAGGTCCTTTATTAGACTGCCATTTAACACTTTTCTTCTAATATGCAAATTATTCCCTACTTTCCCTAAATTCCCAATACCTAGGTCCGCTCCACTAATTCTGTTTTGTTCCCCGTGCCTGCTCTTTCCTTGGGTCCAATCAGCTGACATGAGGAGACAGGGAGTGGCAAGTCAGTGTAGAACTGGAGTAACTTAGTTTGGACATCAAGAATGAGTTGCTCTTAATTTAGACCCATCTAGTCTTTTTCTGTGACGGAACATTGGTATTTAATTCTAATTTACATCTTCCTTTCATGAGGCTTGTATTTAAAAATAGAAAGCTTTGTCTAAAAAGAAAAATTAATGTTCTTTATCTCTTTGGTAACGTCACGAGTTTTAGAAATGATTTGGCTTTTAAACTTATGTTAGTAACATCTAACATTAATCTCGTTTTTAAGTGCTTGCATTACCTTTGAATTGTTTGTTTTAAGAAACAAGCAATGAAAGTTCTGATTGGGATAAAAAACAGTCTTTCATGTTCTAGCTGCATGTTCCTAAGAAGAACATTTCATATGGGACCACTCTGTCTTCCCAGGATTCCTACCACACAGGTATATTATTCCAGGCCACACCTTGGGAACTCAGTTTCATTACTGCTTTCATTTTGGTCCCATTTTCATCAATAAACGAGCTTTTCTGCATGCACATTTGACTGTGTTATTCCTGTCGAAAATGCTTCTGTAACTTTTCACAGTAATGATCAAGATTTTGACGTGGCTACAAGGCCCTGCATGATTAGCTTCCAGCCCCCCTCTCTACTTCACACGAGGCATTCTAGTAAACTATGCAAATATCTAGACATCACTTTAAAAATAGCGTAATTCAGAGCAACCCCTTACACCCCACTTCAGAGATGAAGACTCTACCACAGTGCACCTCTAGAAAAATCACCAATATCTTACTGGTACCAAATTTATCAAGTGAAGGTTAACTTAGCAACTTTAACGCTGTGAATAAAACGAACTTTCTTGGGGACCTATTTGTTTCACAAAATGGAAGTACATTTTGTGAAACGAATCTCCTAAGATTAAGGAAGTGAATTCATTCACCTAAAATGCTCTACACAACGCCTATCATTCAGTAATGCTTTATTAATGAAGTAATTGTCATTTTAAGCCAAAGCACTTTCTTTCTACTTCAAGACTTTACTCTTCCTCTCCTAGACTACCATCAGTGGCCTAAATGTCACCCCTTCAGGAAGTCTCTAACCTTCTGAGATGGGGAGATTCCTGTCTTTATACACACTGCTTTTTATGGCTGGCACTCATTTGCGAAGGCAATTAATGCTGCTTCCCACCACACTGGGAAAGCAGGAAGATGGTGTCTACTATTTGGTTCTCTACTTCATACTAGGTGCTCAAAACACTGAAACTTTAAAGTTTTTTAAAATCTAATTAAATTCTTCTGGTACCTGTATAAAGCTAATTATGATAACATCTTTTATTATAAATTTAAACAACTTTCAGTAAGACAAGTTTAGAATATTCAAAATATATTAATAAAGCTATTTCAGTTTACAAAAGAATGCTTTTTTGCACAAATTTTGATGGACGAAAGACAAGTCTTTAGGTATAAAGTTCACCAATAACAATTTAGTTCTAATGTAAAGAATGGAATGGAAGTCAGAGGGAATCCAATCTCGTAGGAAAAGGTTCATGGAAAGAGGAGAGGCCTCCAAACAACCTTCCAATTCACTTCTGTATTTTTACAGAATTTCTATGTCCAAATGTGTTGGGATTTGATGATTTTACAAAAGATTACTTATCATCAATTCTTTCTCCCCTAAAGGAATGCACTAATGTGAAAAAATTGTAACTTTTTCCTTACAAAGGTTATTTTCATGATTTAAAAAAAAAAGCTTCACATAAAACTATTTCACCAGTGCCCAGTTACTTTCAAAATTCTAAATAATAAATTCAACTATTGAAAAATGTTTTTTAAACCTTCAGATCAGTTTCAAAACCATCTTCTTTTGAAGTTAAGTTCACAAGACATCTTAAGTTGTTCACCCTAGTTCTGGGAATGAAAAATATGGCCAAACTATATATAGTGGTTTGTAATTTCACTTAATAATCCTTCACACTAGTTACCACACTAAAGACTTTGAGAAGCCTGTGGAGAAGTTGTTTAACTTGCTTAAAGCTGTTCTCCACAGCAGATCCTGGACATGGAATTGGTAGTCTAGAGTGTGCCCTCATGCCATATAGCAGCTTTGATGACAACTTGCTCTACACAAATGCCACCTGCCTCATCACTTACAGGGTCATTTCTCTCCTACAGGTACATCATTTCACAAACTCTTGATTAAAACAAACTCAGTGAACTCAATTAATCTTAAGAATAATTTTAAGAGAACTGTTACTCTATTTACTTTCTATCTTGACACAGTTTTCAGAGTCTACAAATAGGCTTTATGGAGAAAAATACTTAATTCCTTTTAGAGACAAAACACAAGGCAAACATTTTATGCTTTCAAGTAAAACCTTCTACATTTAATTGACTCAGTTCAGCACAAGCTGCATGCAAAGAAAAACTAAATGTTTCAGGTTTGAGTGGAACTGAAGTTAACTCCATCATGTTCGTGGCTGTCTAAAGAAAGCACGTCAGCAAAGCCAAAGGGACGAGACTGGCTAAATACCTTTCCTCCTAAACTACCAGCAGCTCAGACACATACAAGTTTTATGGCAAGTAATCTAAAACTCTTCTAAAAATGATTAACTGTTACTCTACCCAACAAGAAACCCAATCCAGCAGCTCTATCTAATTAGTGAAGTCACCAGATAGCTTCATGCAGTTCTGGTGTCAAATGACAAGACTTGCGACTGCAAAGTTCTGTCTCACCGCTTGGACTACTCACACATTTCAAAGGGAGATCTCCACTTCAAACTATTTATACATTCTTTATTTTTTCATGTTGAAATGAAAAATACTGAACAGAAAGAGCCTGAGGGACAAGCTGTAATTTTACTTTATCAAATTATCTAACACTATAAAATATAGCAATTAAGTGTCAGACAAAAACCACAGGCATTTTAGGATAGTTTGTTTATTTTGAGACAGTGTCTCACCATATTGTGGGCTGATCTTAACCTCCCAGACTCAGGCTCAAGTACTTCAGCCCCTGAGCAATTGGCCTTAACTGGCATGTGCCAGTGTACCTGGTCCTTACAGTAACTTTTCCAGTTCCCTCAAACTGAGGCAAAATAGAGTTTATTTAAAAAACAAAAGTTTGTCAATTTTGTTTATACTTTCTATTAAGTTTTTTTTAAAAAAAAAATTCCTTTGTTGTATTTTTTTGGTCTTCACTATAATTTTGTTGTTATATGGGCATTTAAAAAAATCACTAACAAAAATGACTTAAAACACATATTTTAAGTCTTACACTAAACTTGAAAGGAATAAATACCATTCATTTGTGAAAATAATTTCTACATATACAAGCGATGACTCTATGAATTACTAATGTGGCATCAAAAGCTTCATATTTGTGTATTATTATTATTATTATTATTATTATTATTATTATTATTATTATTATTATTTGCTAATGGGGACTGAAACAAGGTCTCCACCTTGTTAAGCATGCACTCTACTGAACTACAGGCCCAAACCCACATTTTCTCAACCTAATGGAAAATTAAAAATAAGAGTTTTTGCTGCATTATGCAATTAGAGGATGCTTGCATTTTAAAATAATTTAGAGGAAAACTCAAGCACAAGGTCTGATACATTATCAAAACAATGTGAACAAAATAATGAAAAAATAGCAGAAGTTACCAAAAATAAATTCCTATTTGAATTCCTGTGTTTACACAGATTAAAAATGTTTCACTAGTTCTATCATACAGACTGCAGCATACTGTAAGATAAAAACACAAAAGTAATATTGGCTATTTGAGATTCAAGCTGCACTTGCCAGGATAGTTTTCACCTGAGTCACAGAGTATATGCCAGCGCAGTTATGCTTTATGAGCAGAAGTCAAGGCGTACTGTCTTTGATTGCTCTTAATATTGTTTAAGTGTCTGTGTAAAAGTATAAATATTCACTACATTTTGGGGGTTCTCTGAACACATGAAAAAGCATGAATTGAAAAGATGTTAATTTTTCTTGCTACGCAAGCATATAAAGACGGATTTTAGTCTAAAATGTTTCTGATGATTAATATTTTCACATTTTTGAGTATTTTAGAACAGAAGTTTAAAAAAATCATAGACACTTATATATATATTCCCATGAAATAAAATCACACTCTGAGGAATTATACAAGTTCACTAAAGAATATCAAATTAATCGTTTCCTCCTATAAATAGTTTATTTGTGTTTAGAAGTTGCAGTTTTAGTATTATTAACAGAAAATACATAACAAAGGTTTCCTAAAAGTGAAAAAAATAATTATAAATGTTGGAAAAATTGGCCTCATTAACATATTTACAGACTTTTACTTAATACATAATCCTTTGGAAATTACTTATGTGACATTTTTACAGCATTAACCCTCCCCAAATCTCTGAGTAGTGAGCACTTTGGCTCTTTACTGTCTATAACCAAAGTTGAATGCCATGTGATTTCTGAAGCTAGAGCCCCAGCTTCCTGGTCACTCTGAGACACTGCTGGCATACTGCTCTGCTCCTTCCCCTGCGGATGTTTCTGCTGAGAAAGTGTCCTTCAGCAGCTTCTTCTCTTTACTCTGCTCTTCCTGCAATTTCAGAATTATGTTTCGGATTTCTTCTCTTTTTGTTTTCATTCTGGGGGGAGGAAACCAGTTCACCAAATTCATAGGGAGCTCAAAACTTAGTATTGGATTCTGAAAATAAGAAGATTAAAAGCCTATTAGAAAATTATAATGAGTAACATTTGAATTTTAACTAGAGCAACACTTAAAAGTTAAGTATCAGCATGTATCCACTTGTTATGTTTCATAAGTCGGGTACTGAGTTAGGCACTAGAGATAAAAGCACTAATGGATTATGAAGCTTACCATCTAGATTAAAGGCTGGCAGACTACAGTTATTGGGCTCAGTTCTGCCAATACCTTATTTCTGCAATCTAGTTCTCTTTTTCAAGCAGAAGCAAACAAATTCACTAATAGTTTGTAGTTGTTTGTACAACACTAGAACTCAAGAGTTGCTAGAGTCTCCACAGCTGCAAAACACAAGTCCTGCCTGAGAAAAGAATGCCAGCATTTGTATCTGTGCTAGATACAAAGATAACCGACCTTGGCAAGCATTCTGACAGGAAAGCATGAAGCGCAGTAGAATAAACACCACCAAACCTGGAGAGCAAGTAAATGGTAGCCAGCAAAGAATGACAGCAGCATCAGGCAAGTGAGCTTTGAGGCCTGGAGACATGGCACAGTAATAAACAGAATGACTTCTGACTGGCTGATACACAGCTATGTATAGAACACCAGAAGAGTTTCCTTCTTTAGCTCATTAGCACCAGGGAGCCACTAAATATAAACCTGGTGAGAATAACCTGATAAGAGTTTTCAGAAAATGGCCGTGAAGGGAGAAGACAAGAGAATCTCACTAGCATTCTGGACTTAGAAAGTGGCAGCAGGAACAGTAATGTACACACATGACTTTAAAAGAGAGTCAGTGGTTTGTTCAATGGACAGTGGTTAAGAAGGAGTCAAGGGAACATAGAATTCTAAGAGAGGCGTGTGGAGAGCCACGCTGCAGGCCAGGAGTGAAAAAGGAATAGTCGAAAGGGTGCTGTAGGTCAGAAGAGCTTTGAATAAGGGTATGGAGGATATCAGATTTAAAACGCTCGAGAGGCAATAGCATGTGTGTGGAGATGGGAATGGAGAGACAGCATAAATCACAGGTGAGATTTGCTAAGATAGAAAATAAGCTGGTGGAGAGGTTGATAAGAGATGATCGACAGGCCTGAGACTTGAGATCAATAATCACAGTATTTTTATATCTTAAAAGGCCTCTAACTTGCAAGTTTCTGTTCCTTAGAATCATTTTTAAGATGAATTAGTTTCTTACTGTATTCTTTACATGAAGGTCAAATATCTATATTTCACTATTTCACCAGATACAATGACCTGAAACTCACCTCAAAAAAGCTCTCTACATACTGCAGTATGTATACGCCACAGTCGCTGAAGTTGTTCTGCTGTGGAACTTTGGGGTTGGAACCCCTCATAACATCTTTGGAAAAACTTCTTTTGCTTCCTTTTTTAACCTCCCATTCCACTTCTAAATACCTACAACAACACACATGTAGCAAGAACACACATACTTGTAAATACTGCATCCACTATAGTATATCAAACAGGTAGTTATAGTTTTGAACTTACTCTCTTAGAATTTTGACAACATTTGACCGAGAAGGGCCTCTAAGTGAGTCCATAAGGAGGATACAAGGTCTGCAGATATAAATAATAAAAGTTAAGTATAAATTATGATGTTACATATGCATGAGAAAAAACAGTGAATTTATGATTAAAAACCTTGAAATATTCTTTTGTTTCAGTAATGAAAACAAACGTTCAGACATAGGAAATTTAGATATCTATGATAATATTAAACATTGTTACAGAATAGTAATGTAACTCCAGCATAATAAAAAAGGAACCATATATAAGTAAGTATTGTGTGTGAACTTGTATATGCACATGCATATGCCAAGGCAACCTGAAGGGGATCATTAGACTCATATCATCAGTCTTGCCAGCAAATGTCCTTACCTGCTGTATGGCAAACCAAATAGCTAATCCTAAGAATTTGTTTATGACACAATATTTTTTTAGGCAAGATTTTATTTTAGAACAGTCTATGCAACTCACATATAATCTTCAGAATTTTAATTCTGTAGAAGTATGCTGTAAACTCAAAATAAATGAGGAAATCTAACGTGCCAAAATAAGTTTAAAATGATCATCTTTTCTCTTCTCCATTCTACCTCCCCCATCTTTCTCTCTACGCTAAGGTTTAAATGCAGAGCTTTGGATATGCTAAGCACACATCTAACTCTGAACTACATTGATCAGGCCTGATATAGAGCTCTTAACTATCAGTTATATTTTCTCTAAATATCTGTATTTTCTTTTATAAATAAAATTTTCAAGGTCCATTATGCAGTTTTTGCTAACATTTTCCACAGCAAAGTAAAAGAAGCAATCTGTATCACTTAATGGTTTGGGAGTCTTTACAGCACACATGTATTTCTGGAGATTGAGAATGACGTATTCCATCTTCAGGCTTCCGCCTGCACCCTATCCTTTTAGTAATGCACACACAGTCTCAGATACACCAAGCCATGAAGCATGACAGGGTGCAAGTCTGAACTTCCTCTCTTAGAATTCTGTCCAATCTGAGTGAGTTCTAAGTAGGAAACATGTCTGCAGGATGGGCCGGCCTTTAGTAACTCTGCCCACATAAAGTAGCTATGGAACTAACATTAACTGCCAACTGCATGTTACTGGAGGTTTTTTTTCTCAAAAACATCATATACACAGTTGTAGTGGTTCATCATGAAGATGTGTAAGCATCTGTGGGAGCAGAGGCTGAGAAAATTACAAAGAGGAGACCAGAAATAGCATCCCTGTTGGATCCTGGATAGCACACCAACTTTTCCTCCTTGACCCTGAGAATACCTGTGAATTCTTCTCAAGTAAGAATTGTTCTGTTGTGTTTTATTCTATGACTCAAAAAAAAAAAAAAAAGTCACACAGATTGCAGGATGCAGTCAATGCTTACTGTTTACAGACAAGAGGTTTTAAATGCCACTGTCCTATTTCTGAATTGTAGTTTTCATCAGCAAGGAGTCCATCATCGCTGCTATCATCCTATAAAAGACAGCCTTTGGTTAATAGAAGTCTGCTATCGAAATAACTAATAATCTAAGAAAATAGCATTGCACACAAAACTCTTTCCAATAAAATGGCAACACTTCTAGTCCCAGGGAGATAAGTGACTTAGAAAATCCAGCCTGCTATTCAAGTTCATTCAACGCTAAAGCAACAACATTAAAGATCTCTTTGTTGTTATTATTATGTGCATGTAAAGTGTATATGCATGTGAACAGGCAGGTGGGCGTCAGAGGACAACTCTGTGGCGTCAGTGTTCTCTCTCTTCCAAACTTACATGAGTTCTGAATACGCCTTAGGTTTTCAGCAGGTGCAACAAGACCTCTGCCCAATAAATAATCTCACCAGGACAAACTTTCGGATGTTTACATATGGTGAAGATGGATTTATGCTAGTTTTTCCTTTCCACTCAATTTTGTGAAGGAAAAAGGTCATGTCTGAATTATCTATTGGCAAATAATACAGTGCTGGAAAATATAAGTTATATCCTTTCCACTACATGAGCATCCCAGTCTGAAGTGCAAAGTACTGCTAAGAAATTGGTTCCAAATTTCCAATATTTGTATATGTCTCTCATCATGTAAAGCCTACATAAATTGTTTAAATGTAAGAAACTCAAAAATCTAGGTGGTGGTGGTGCATGCCTTTAAGCACTCGGGAGGCAGAGGCAGACAGACCTCTGTGAGTACAAGGCCAGCCTTGTCTACAGAACAAGTTCCAGGACAGGCTCTAAAACTACACAGAGAAACCCTATCTCAAAAAACCAAAAAAAAAAAAAAAAGAAAAGAAAAAAAAAAAGAAAAACAAGTAACAACAGCAACTTTAAAATCTCAATCATATCTCAGTCCACATTTCTGAATAGGACTACTGAGGTCTGTACCATTTACAGTACTTGGTTTACAGTGGGCACCTAGTCTTCCTTTGCATAGAGCAGGTACCTGTTAAGTAAACTAATTAATGAGTACCTTACAGCTATGCATTCTAAACTAGGGATAACACATAGAACACCAACCCCTACCAGAATGAGCAAGAAGGAAAACTGTACAGCATAAAGTATCTTCACACTAGGTCAACAACTCAAAGTCCGTCCTAGCACTGAAACCAGAAACCCGTCTGATCTCCAGGACACACACGGAGAAAGGAGAGAAACGACTCCTGCAATTGTGCTCTGACTCCCACACGCACACTGTGCTTGCAGGTGTGTCCAACAAAAAACAAATATAAATTTTAGAAAGGGAGATTTAAGGGCTAGAGAAACAGCTCAGTGGTTAAGTGTTCTTCCAGAGGACCCAGATTCTATTCCCAGAACCCACAACTGTCCGTGACTCCAGTTCCAGGAAATCTGATACCCTCATGGATATATATGGAGGCAAAAACACCAATGCAAATAAAGTAAATATAAATAAAAAGAAAACTTAAGAAATAGTATGTTACAGCTTCTCTTGAATTTTTCTCAGAATTTAAATAAATTATCTCTAGAACTATAATTTATTTTTAAGTGTTTATGATACTTATTAGTGTAAATAAGATCTAGGAAATAGTATAGCTCACCTATGGTGATAATTAAATATTACCTATTCTTAAAGTACATGCATATTAAATTGGAAAAAAAGAAAATAGTTACTGGATAAGTAACAAAAAAGGTACTGGGAAAGTGGTGGCGCACTCCTTTAATCCCAGCAACAGGAGGCAGGGGCAGGCAGATCTCTGTGAGTTCAAGGCCAGCCTGGTCTACAAGAGCTAGTTCCAGGACAGGAACCAAAAACTACGGAGAAACCCTGTCTCGAAAAATAAAAATAAAAAAAATAAAAAAATTCTGATTCTGCCATTCTTATGCATACTACAATTATGTATACTATCATAACTGAAAATCTTACCACTTGCCTTTCAGATATCGTTAGATCAAAGGTCAAGAATAGTCCATAAATGTTTTCAAAGAAAACATGATTAACTTTTTATTTTATCCAATACTGGGCACCTAACAAATAGCAAATAAGTGCTCTCCCACTGAGCTGTACATGTACAGTCTCTGATCCAAGAGAATTAACTATATTAAAACTTTTTCAGGCAGTATTAGAATTCAACCCCTAGATCGTATTTCCAACAACAACACTAATACATGCATCATGAAACTGTTAACTAGAAAACTGGGTTTGTTGTGAAATACAACCCAAATACAGAACCCATGTTGTCTGTTGGTGGCTGAAGGAATAGCTTCTCAGATTTTTTAACAGAGTCTGACAAAGCATCTGATTTTACCGGCTCATCCTGATCCTCTGAGAAGTCAATGAGTTCATCTTCCAGCATTTTGCCACCTTCAGCTGACTGATCACCGTAGTTTAGTCTGATTTTGCTTAAGGCATCTGTATCAATAGGAAACACTGTATGATAAAAAGCCTATGACCCAGAGGATAGACTACTGAAATGAATGCCAGTAATGACAGTTGAGGGTACAAAAATCTGCTACAGCATGAAGTACAACAAACATAAAGTAGGTTATTTTTAAATAAAAACATGGATTGCTATCAAATTACAAAATGGTTCTATTAATCTATTATTCAAAATTTATGAAAAAAATAAAAACAAGGTTATATAAATCTGTGTATAAATCTGTTTGTTTGCATGTTTGGGTATGCCCGAAAGTGAAGAGAAAGTTTTAAGAGTCTAAAAAAGAATAATTCCCAAATAAAATTATAAAAGCATAGGAATAGAATACAAGATAGAAAATGTATAGTTTTAAGATTAAAATTATAAAACATGAAAAAACAAAGGGTTAAAAACAGTACAAATAAATAGATTTGCATGTGCACAAATCAGAAAAAGACTATGTCAGGTAGTGGTGGTGGCACACACCTTTAATCTCAGCACTCAGAGGCAGAGGCAGGCGATTCTCTGTGAGTTCGAGGCCAGCCTGGTCTACAAAGTGAGTTTACTAGTTATATACAAGATACCTTAACTGTTTATTTTCTAAGTTTGGTTAAATTACTATTTTTCAGTAAAATAAAATCCCACAAATCAACTGTAGGTGTTGGTACCATACAAGTAAGTGATTTGTAAGGTAAAACTAAATTGATATTCTTAAGTCTATTCTAAGAATCAAAACTGTTAAAAAGCAATTATGTTGGCAAAAGAAGCTTGTCAAATCAATAATTTAACAGAAATTTAAAATTTACCAAAAAACTGAGTTAGAATTTAATACCACATATGTTAATATTGTTTAAAACAGTGTATAACATCTTAAAACTTCCTAAGAATAACTTTTAGGTATTTCAGGTAGAAAAGTTTACTCCAATCTAGGTTTTATATATATAGTGCTATTTTTTATTAACATAAAAACAAGGTATCTTGAGGAAGAAGGTAAGTAAAATGTATTACTGAAAAAAGATATATGAATCAAAATGTGGTCATCAGGAACATACTTAAAATAACTAGCCAAGCACAATGGTAAACCTTCTGTTATACACAATAACCTCTTCAATTTGTCTGTTTCAGAAATTATTTTAAATTTGCTTAAATAAAAATCTGTACAAATCCCCAGGCAATTGACATTAATACAGATTATTTCTAGAAGCAAATCATTCTTATTTATAAAGTACTGTTACATCAATACTTACTTTGTACTAACTAAATTATTCCAAAAACCATCCCAATAAAGTCTTTATGGCCTCTCCATTCTGCATGTGTCTGATTCTCATAAGAATGTAGAAGTTAAGCAGGGTGAGTCTTGGTTAGTACTTGAATGGGAGAAAGGAATTTAAATAATTTAGGTTTTAAAAAGTATCTTTCTTTCAGGCTGGGTATAGTGGTGCACACCTTTAATAGCTGCACTCAGGAGGCAGAAGTTAAGGGATCTCAGAGTTTGAAGCTGATTGCTCTATGCAGTGAGTTCTAGGTTAGTCAGGGCTACAAAGCAAGGCCCTGTCTTAAAAAAAAAAAGTGCATGTATATTGGGGGGAGGCTCGGCAGCTAAGATTAAGAGTTTATTACTGCTCTTCAACAGAATCCAGGTTCAATTCCCAGCACCCACATCAGGAGGCAATTTCAGCTCTAGGAGGATTCCACCTTCACCTCTGACCTCTGGGGGACACCTGCACCTACCCAACACACATATATGTATTTAAAAATAATTTTAAAACAGATAATATATGTATCCTTTAAAAAAAGCAAACATTTATATATTCTCATTCTCTGTGTGTGTGTGTGTGTGTGTTTGTGTGCATATACATACTTCTGTGTGTGTAGATCAAAGCATAATTTTCAGGAATCAGTTCTTTCCTTCCAACATCTGGGCGCCAGGGATTGAATCCAGGTTACGAGCCTTGGTGGCAGACACTTTTACATAGTAGTCATCTCAGCAGCCCAGTAGTTACCTATGTGAGTGTGACTGTAAAATTTAAACCTACATGTTCCTCGTTTCCTTGATCTGGTCAATTATTTTACTTGACGTACAGATGAAAAAAAAATGGCAAGTAGTGGTCTCATACATTAGCTTCCAACAGCTGGCCTTAAAACTGTAGATATAATCCCAATTATTTACTGTGGCATGTTATCTGACACTGTTAGTGAACACTTGTTAACTATATGGATCTAAGAGTTAAAATTATATGAACTATTTAAAATACATCTTTTGAACAATATGGCCAGGCCAAATAGAATTTAGCTACTCAGGCAGTAACCAGAGCACAAACTTTTTATAATCTCCTAACTTTTCATGCACCATCATTGTAAGACCAGTTAACCACATTTAGAGAGCACCCTTACTTGCTGTACTTTTTTTTTTAAAGAAATTTTTATTTATTTATTTGTTTGTTTATTTATTATGTATACAATATTCGGTCTGTGTGTATGCCTGCAGGCCAGAAGAGGGCACCAGGCCCCATTCAGATGGTTGTGAGCCACCATATGGTTGCTGGGAATTGAACTCAGGACCTTTGGAAGAGCAGGCAATGCTCTTAACCTCCGAGCCATCTCTCCAGCCCCTACTTGCTGTACTTTTGAGCCAATGAGCTCTTCAAGCATATGATAAAAGCTAAGGCACCTCACTGTGTGTGTTTGGGTGGTGGGAATCAACCATCTCACTCTAGAGCACCACTTTTCAAACTTTAAGATGCTGCCAGCATTGAATTAAAGATTTAAAAAAAACAGTGTTAGTATTAGCACTCACACAAACAACAAGCTGTTTTGTGAAACACTAGTTTTAACAGATCTTCCCTTTAATTACAGAGATGTAATTGACACAGGTACATCCATATGAAAGGAACTGACATTACAAGCTACAAGAAAAAGACAAACATGTTAATTATGAAACCTACATAAAACATTATTTTGTACTTTAGTCTCCACTATGGTTTTGAGACTGTCTTCAAACATAACTGTCTACTCAACCAAACAACAACTTACGGGGGCACTTTTGGAAATCCTGCAGTCAGTGTACAAAAAGCTCCAAGCTGTGCTCCAATGCATAAAGTCACTCACATCATTTATCTGATCTCATATTAAAGTGGACGATCGTGTTTTTATTAGTATAGTCAGCCCTCTCTATCTATGGGCACTGTCTGTGAATTCGACCAAGTATGGATAAAGAATACTGGACGGTAGAGGTTACAGTATGGTGGTGTACTAATACCAGTACAAGGGAAGCAGGCAGATCTCCGTGAGTTCCTGGCCAGCAAGGATACACAGTGAGGCCCATTCTTTAAAAAGGATATTTGGAGGAAATTTTTGTGTTTGTATTGAACATATACAGCTCCTTTTCCCTTCTGGTTCTTGGAATAATACATTTCAGGGACTGGGAATGCAACTAAGTGAGAGCGCTTGCTTAGCATGTAAAGGTTCAAGCCCTAGCACCACAAATAAAAACTAAGAGAGTAAAAATAGAGCATAAGCATTATTTAAAAAAACTACGTATTTAGAAACTACAACAAACTAGAAGGTTTAAGTAATCTAGAGATGTTTTAGAGTTTAGGGAGGATACAAACATACAAAAAAATGAACACTAAGCTCAAGGAACTTGAGCATCCATGGGATTTAGGGAACTTTTTTGTGGCCAAGTGGGGCTGCAATCAACCTTCCACGAATTCTCAAAACTAGCCATATGTTCACAAGTATGTGTAACTACCACCATCACAATATTATTTTTGATGTTATCATTTAGGTGGTGCCGAGGATTGAACCCAGATCCTCACAAAAGCTAGGTAAGATCTTTACCACTGAGCTGATCAAGCCCTCAAAATCAATTCCAAAGCCTCAAGATAAAAATCCCATATTAACATCCTGTCTCTATATTCCCCACACTCTTGTCTTTTCCTGTTGAAAACCCTAAGCAATCAATCACTACTCTATAAATTTTTGGGTTCTAGAAATTTCATATGAATAATAATTATTTTTTAAAACAAGAATTAAAATGCTGACAATGAAAGAATTTCAGGTTACATACTAGCTTGCTTAAGTACTTTGCTTAATTGTATCCTAACGAACTAGACTGGAAAATAACCTAGACAATGATTTGATGTGTTTGGATTTTAATGACCAATTTTGTTTTTCTTGTTCCCTTTCCAGCTCAACTCATAGCACCAGGACCTTATGAAGCTTATTATATAAAATATCCTACCAAAAGTTCAGCAACATCCTCTTTCCCATACCCTCATCTTTTATGGCTTTTTCAGACAGGATTTCAACATAATCCATGCTGACTTTAAACTTGCCATATAGCCAGTGCTGGCCATCAATTCCTGATTCTGCACTTCCAAGTGCTGGGATTAGAAGCATGACAGATGTGAAATTCCTAATTCACCAATACAAACTGGTAGAGCATCAAAATATGTTCTTTATTTGTAATGTTCCATAATTTTAAATTCCTATTTTTCTATAGCCTAGTTTACCTAACAAAAACTTTTATAGATCTACACATAGTTTAATGTTTGCACTGGAGAAATGACACTGAGTATTATGGATTTTTATGGAACAGATTAAGTTTTTTAACTGACACATAATACCTGAACATATTCTTGGGGTTGGAGGTTGTAGCTCAGTGGTAGAGAGCTTGCCTAGTGGGGCGAGAAGTCTTATGCTTGATACTCAGCAATAAGTGTGAGCATCAAACACAGGGTTTAAAGCTTCCTGGGAAGAGTAAGATGTTCTGATGCACATGTCATCTGAGAGGAGGGAACTTGGAATGAAAAATGCCTCCCTAAGACTGGGCTGTAGGTAAGCATGTAGAGCATTTTCTTAATTTAATGACTGATGGGGGAGGGCCCAGCATATCGTGGCTCCTTGTCCTGAGTTCTACAAAAAAACAAGCTGAACAAGCCAGAAAGCAGCAACTCTCCAAGGCTTCTGCATCAGCTCCTGCCTGTAAGAGGTTTTCAATCTAGACATACAAACTTCACATTTCCCTCCAAGCCCCTTCCCTGCTTGAGTTCTTGTCCTAACTTCCTCAAATGATGAACAGTGATCTGGATGCAGAAGCCAAATAAGCCCTTTCCTCTCAAGTTCCTTTCATCATGGTGTTTTGTCACAGCATTAGTGACCCGAGCTAGGATAAGGCTGAAGTCAACACATGGAGTATTTGTGGGTGGGAGAGGAAAACAATCTGATATCAAAGAATTTTGATCACAACTTTTAGATTTCTGTTAAAGAGGTTAGAAATAATAGTTTAATGGAAGAAAGAACAAATTCACGAGAGCTGAACCAAGTGAAAGGAGAGCGAGGGACAGGGATCCCCACTCTGTCTGAAGGAAGAAGCTTTACTTTCTGCCTTTGGCCATTTGAACTCAATTCACCAATCTAAAAATGGAGAAGACTGAAAAGATTTGTCTTATAAGTTAAGCCTGTGCAACTACTGTGTATTTTGAATATAAGGAATTTTTAATTAAACAAAATGATTCCAAGCTCTTGTAAGTGGAAAATGTGAAGTTTGTATGTCTAGATTGAAAACCTCTTACAGGAATATGTGGAACAGAATTATAAATTTCAAGGTTTATTATTTCTTTG